AATTAAAGAAGAGTCCAAGAGGGCAATCGAAATCATAATGTTCTTTTGAAAATAAAGTGTCAGTTCACGATATAATGAAATTTCGAATTCCCGAATTCCCGACGATTTAACTGCCTGCAAGTTATATGGTTCAATCCTGACGTACCTAAAAAGGTCCTTCCTCCCAATGTTGCGGAATAATGCATGCGTCCTAGCTTTTTGAAGAATCAATATCGGATCCGAGTCTAACAAAAGTTTTAAATTTGTTTTCACTTACATTGAAGATTCAAGCTGAGCGTAATTTAAAATAATAATTTGTCTTATATCGGTTTTGCCTGTAACTATGCCAAATGTTATTCCAGTCAATAGTTGTTCAAAATATCTCATCGGTATCTCGACATTGTATAAAAGATCTGTACCCGGTACTCAGCAAATGTATATCTAATGGTTTTATCACCCAACTTCGTAGCTCAGAAGGAACTGAAATCGTCATACTTCACTTTTGGATATTTTGTAGAATATTAATTACTTAATAGCCTTCTTTTCAAAATGTGCAATTCGTAGAGGAACATGTAGAAAACGCCACGAACTCATAACAACACAGTAATCATTATACCAAATAATAAGGTTAAGAAGGATAATAACATTGAGAATGGAAATGGGGAATGTGTCAAAGAGACAACAACCCGACCAAAGAGCAGGAAACAGCCCAAGGCCACCAATTGGTCTTCAACACAGCGAGAAAACCCCGCACCCGGAGGCGGGCTTCAGTTGGCTCTAAAAACAAAAATATATACTAGTTCAATGAAAATGGACGTCACACTAAACTCCGAAACATATAAATGGACTAAAATTAAAAAAAAACATACAAGACTAGCAAAGGCCAGAGGCTCCTAACTTGGGACAGGAGCATAAATGCAGCGGGGTTAAACATGTTTTGTGAGATCTCAACCCTCCACCTATACCTCTAGTCAATGTAGAATAATCAAACACACCGCAATAAGCACAGTAAAACTCAGTTTAAAAGAAGTCCGAGTCCGATGTCAGAATAGGTAACAACAATAATAAGTTTGTATCATCTTGACAAATGCTTTTCCAGTCTAAATCATGAAATCTGAAGCATCCACATTTTTGATGAAACAAATTACTTTTGTTTTATTTTTACATTCAGCTGCTCGATTATTTTCCACCCAGTCATTCATCATCGCAATCACAAGAAATTGCTATCCTCCCCAATGTTGTCAAACAGGGGTTAAATGTTTGAATATATCGTGGAAATTTGTAGATCACATTGACCTAAATGACAGTGCTACTGTCTATATTCACAAGAGCATCTTCCGATAAAGCCTGAATTTGGTTGTTAGTTAAATCAATGACTGTTGACCTGTTGAAATACTCCCGATATTCTTATAATTTTACATCGTTGCATTCAAATATCAATGTAAGGTTTTCTCCATATATAAAATCTTTGAACTCCACAAAATGTGTGAACTTATTTGAATGTTTCACCTGAAGATTGTTGTAAAAACAAGAAAGTACTTGTGAATATTAAATAATATATGCATGATCCGGCAATATTGGAATTTTTAATTGATAAATATATAAATATAATATATTTCGTCTCAAATTTTGCCCAACAATGGTAGATCTTCAAATTTGCGTTTTTTTAGCAAATTTTTGTTCTTCCTTCATCGGGATTCGAACTCTTGCTTCTGTGACATCGTGGCAACACCGCCTGCACCGTCCCCAGCGCCCACCTAGGCTATAAAAAATATACCTTTCGGTGGTTGATGTAATGTCTTTTCTCGTTGGCTTTATCTAGGGTTGTAACACAGTTCATGATGTATAGCGGCAAGTAGATGGTGTAACTTTCAGATCAGCTAATTGTCTGTCGTAAAGGATGATAAATATATATATACAAGAACACACCCGCGACAACGCGGGTCCGTGACTGAATTAAAGTACCTATGCCTTTTTTTTTTTTATAAAATTGAGAACGGAAACGGGGAATGTTTCAAAGAGACAACAACCCGACCACAGAGCAAAAAACAGCCCAAGATTTTGAGTATTTGTATTGTCATCTGATTAAGTCATGCTGATTGTAAGTTGCACAGTTTTCTACTTTCAAAATCTTTCTGTTAGAACCCGTCCTGTTCTTCTTTATACGACAGTAAACTTAGTATTAACTAATTTAAATTGTATCTAATTAACCAAAATTGATAGTGGTATTGAGGTGGAAGAAAACAGACTTGTTAAATAGTGTACTATATTGTAACATAGAGATAAAACAACTACTGGAAGAATCCCAGGTTCTCCTGATAAAGGAGGGATTTACAGAAGGTAACAGGCAAGTAAAACTACAACCGGAAACTACTTGTGATATATACTGTTGGTATCGGTATCGGATTCGACCCGGAACTTGTTAGTAATTGGCAATATCAATTATGTGGAAAACAAAAGGGCCTGGAATGGTGTAATATTAAACAACACCATTGTTCTATATTGGTTATATATAAAGTTAAATTCTTGTATTCGTAGTTTTTAAGCCATGTCGGCTAACAAATTGGACCTCGTTATTTTAGTGGTATAAATATACAAGTCTAAATTGAAAACAACGTTCAAACCTATGATTGCGTTGGATAAAAACCGCAATTTTTATACGTGTGCATGCAAAACAAATGTCTTGGTAGAGGGGTCTAAATGCAGCACAAACAACATTTTCCAAAAGGCCAAAAAAGTGAAAAAGTATATTTTAACAAAACGCATTTGACTAGCAGGTCGAACAACGGATGTTCTTAACCCCTGCTGACTGCAATGGCGATTGCCAAATAAACGGATCACCACATGTTACAAAATGGATCTTAATTAATAATTTAATACCAAACAGAAAACAATAAACTTGCGGAAAAGATGGTATATATATATATATATATATATATATATATATAAACGCCTATAAAGTGTACACAGCAACACCAATAACAGAAAAAGGAACTATAAATGTAATTATTTATAAATATTTCGGATAACAGATATCCTTCATCAGTAAATATGATTGTGATGTTGAATGAATCATATATCAGTCTACTTAGATTAAACTATAACAATCTTGAAATTTATACAATAAAAAAGTCAAACCGAACATCAGGTAAGACGCTTGCACAATTCTAAATATTGTCTTCAATATGTCACCGGTAGTTTTTCACTATATATTTTGAATATCAAACTGGCACTTTGAGCCCTCCGTAAACATAGAAGACAAGAAGTTTACCCAAATTCCGTTCGGTGTCATTTGTATCTTTATATCAACTAACTATCTGCATAATATTATGAAGATTGAGAGATCATGGAGGTCTAGCCATCGCCCTGTGCCCTTTTACCTGAATTTTCGACGATTTTCAGCTGAAGAGTGAAAATATCTATTTCTTTTGGCTTCCATAATTATTTCTATTTATATTTTTAAATGTTACTAGAGTGATCGTTTGTTTTTATTTCTAGAAATATCATGTATAAAACATGTAAAAGTACATAATCTGATTGCATTTTATTGATAAAAATCTATATTTCATAAAGACAAATGTGCGATTTACATAAGGGCTCAAATATTTGAGGACAACGAGAATTTACGACAGCTTGATAGGGTCATAAAACGATTTCCTACATATTTTTGTAGTACTTTTAACTGTGACTATCATGCTTTTAATGTTATCGAATATTTAAATTTTTATTATACTAGTAACGAATAACGAACCGGACTCTACTTCACATACATTAAACCTCTGTTGTCTGTTTTTTTTTAACTGTATGTCTTTTCGTTTTAGATCTCTGTTTTTAAATTTAAGTATGTTTTCGTTTTTGATGTCTGTTTTTTAATTTTAAGTCTGTTTTCGTATTCAGGTATTAGACTTATGTTGTCTTTTTTCTAATTGTATGTCTTTTCGTTTTAGATCTCTGTTTTAAATTTTTTAACGTCTGTTTTTTAATTTTATGTCTGTTTTCGCTTTTGGTGTCTGTTTTTTTTTTTTAATTCTATGTCTGTTTTTAATTTTTAACGTCATTTTGTATATTTGTTATGTCTGTTTTCGGTTTTGAAGTCTGTTTTTGGTATAAACGGCTGTTTTTAAAATTTTGTTCAATTTTGCCCGATGGCTGCCCATAAGAAACGTTTCGAACGGGAACTATATATATGTTACATATAGGCGTATTCAGCGTCAAGAACACAATGTAAAGACCATCACCAAGGTAAACCAGAAATACACAATCTTTTCGAAACACAAAGTTAGAGCTGAATATACAAAATATCTCCGTTCAGCTAAATGTCTTCAGGACAAATTGTAGTGGTTAAAAATTTCCCCCTTATATTCATGTACTATGTTTTATCTAGAACTAATACTGTGAAGTCTGGCCTAACGGACACGTCAAAAAAGAAAAGCTGCTTTGAAACAATTGGAACAATGGTAGTTATTAATACGTGCTTTTTCTGATATTAATTTTGAATGTTATCGTACGTTATTCTCCATACCTTTTGTTCATGTTGTTATTGCGCAGAAGTAATTGACAAAAAAAAAGTACATTAAAAAAAAAACAACCACAAAACCGACATATATGGATTTGAATAAAAATGGGTGTTAGTTATAATTCGACGAGACAACATCCCCAGAGACATTATAATAACCAATAAAATTGAGAATGGAAAATTGTTACAGTCCTCCCCATTGATTTTTTAATGTGGAAAACCCCACATGCACGTTACGAAGCTAGCCACTTAACAAGGGTATATATATTTAAAAAATATTTATTTTTGGTATTTACAGTGTAAGTATTATCATACAGTTTTATAAATTGTTTTGAAGAATTTTTTTTTTCTCGTGACTTGCAATTCTGGGAAAACATAACAGCTGTTTATTTTTGTAAACTCTGCCAAAAATGGATTTCAATTAACCTTAATGATATCTGGATTGCATGATCATGTTGATATAAAAGTCTACAAGTGAACTACATCTTTAATGTCTGTATTACACCTTCAAACATCAAAAGTAAGGCACCTGTTTTAATTCATCAATACCAAGGATTCAAAATGAAGTAAGTAAAAAATCTTGATGTCGATAAGAAACATTAAGCGCCTAATCTTTTTTATGAAATTGAAATTAAAAGGAAAACAAAATACAGAAATAACCGAAACTTATTCTACTATTACAAAGCTTTAAAAAGAGAAAAGGTTAAGATTTTCCTGCTTATTCCATTGGTCTAACTTTCAACTTTTTTTAGACGTAATAAGCACGAAGTTTGTTAGTTTTTCAATGAGCCTTCACCAAATGATTAGCTTCATCAGCTTTTGTTTATATTTGTATCGAGCGATTTAGATCTTTCTTCATGGTCAAGACAAAACTTATAGACATACATATTTATAGAGTTTAAAATACTATTTAGTAGCTTTCCTCATCCCATCGTCATTGCGATACTGACCTCCATCCTTACATCAGGCGGGAGCTGTCACAAATCCTGTTCAGGGAATGCCAGTCTGATGAAGAGTATTCAGTACCAATTGAAACTTGTTGAAGATAATGATGGAAAGTGTGACTGTAACCACAGTCCTTCATCTCAGAGTAAGTTTGAATATAACGATAATAAGTCTTTACATTTAAAATGGGAGAGGCTTGATATCTAGTTAGTTAGTTAGGAACCTTGTTAACGGGTTATTGGCGGTCTTTTGTCACGTCTTAGAGTGATATTTGATAGTCGTTTTTGGGGACTTTGCGTTGATTGCAGCAGATTTTTAGTAGTCTCACAGCTTTTCTAGAGTGATCGTTTAAGAGATTGACACATACTGTATAGACAACAATTTGTTGTTGAAGACTTTACATTTACCTCTATATCTAGTATTGCCAAGAATTTACATTTTAATATTTCAACCCACACTGTACAAATACTTATCGGAGATAACACTACTCCTTTTGAAGCAAATTATTACCCGACATATTAAATGTTACAAAAACAACCCCAATTAATACCCCTTAATTAGGATTAATCAACATTTTTACTAAATTTTAAACACGTATCTTGTAATTGTTCTGACTATGCTGAGAAAAATATATGATCCCCATGACTTTTTTTATATAGGTTTTGGAAAAGTTGGCTTTCAGGTATTTAATTCGAAAAATTTGCAGAATATTAGTAACGGCGCTGTAGTTGTGTACGACACTGTTACTACCAACCTCGGTGGAGGATATGACAAGTCGACTGGTGTATTCACTGCACCTGTAGTAGGACTGTACTACTTTACCTGGACAGTTCTTGCTTACGTTGGGAAGTCTTTCTACACACAACTTAAACTGAATGACGTTGTTGTAGCAAAGAATCATGCTGGGGCTGGCGGAATATCTGCGCACATGCCATCTAGTCAGAGTGCTGTTTTACAAATGAAGAAAAACGACAAAGCGTCTATCAGGATTCATCGCGGAGGTGTATTCATGATCGGAGATAAGTGGTCAACCTTTAGTGGATATAAAATCTGAATAAAATGAAATGACCTTTAAGATGACTTATTTCATTTATTTCTTACCTATAAACATTTCAGGACGTTTGTTTCCAATATATAAGAATCCTGGAAAATCAAATGAGGGTAAGCCACATCTGTTTGATTGTTTTAGTTATGAACGTATGAACGAGGGGTTTTTATTTCAATTTTAGATCATTTTCTTATTACACATGATTCTCTATTCTTTATATTTTATACGCCGTAATTCCCTTTTCTAAATGTTGTCCATTTCATCAATTATTATTATTTTTGTACATTTATTATTATTTTTGTACATTATTCCCTGTTATGAAAACCTAATCCAGACCCCCATTTATAGTGTTTCAACAGAAGAAGTCTGGCATTGAGGAAAACACAATTACAATATTATTTAATCAAATAATTTTAATTCGAATCACTCGAACCGACAAGAAAAACCAAGACAATCATATATTTTGTGTCAATTTAAAGATCAGATTCCCGTACAATTTGCGAACTGTCCTTGATAAAACGACTACAGACAGCATATTATCTCAGTTTACATGACAATTTAATGAGACATGAGAAAATTATCTAAAACTTCCTCTTTTGATATCATGAATATTGTTGATAAAAGACAACGTAGTCATAGGTCATCGCAAAAAAAGAACTAAACATCGTACTAATTAAACACTTGATGGTCTCTTATCTATATTTAAAAACAATATAGACACCAATTATTATTCAAAACTGGCCCAGTCAAATGTTAATAACGCGTGTTATACCTTATCGTTTTTCAGTTTTCATGTCACTATACGAGTGCACGCGTATGGTTGCAGCTTTTTGTCACCACAGAGACTGTTCTCTCGTACTGACAACCCTGAAGAATTTGTACGGAATTTTCTAGAAATGAAAAAACCACATTAACAGAACTATTGTTTTTTTTCAACTTATCTAGTATAATATTAAAAATATACCAAAAACAATACTGAACTCCAAGGCAAATTCTAAAAGGGGAACTCCATAAAAACTGACAAAATCAAACGCTATCAATCAACTGGAACAAGTGAAAAACAACTGCTATATTCCTGACTTGGTACAGGCATTTCCCGAAGATAATGATGGGTTAAACCTGGTTTTATAGCTTGCAAAACCTCCCACTTGTATAGCGGTTGTTTATATTCCGTCTATTATTTTCAAAAGGGCACTAGGTACGATTTAGACAAAACAAAAAAATAAGATATGCTATTTGTTTTGTTTCAATCACGAAGATAAAAGCAGAATTCTTAAATACTATTTCGATATTAGCAATCAGTTTGGTTCAATTTCGTCATTATAAGCTGATTTATAATTGGCCTGCGAGCCAATAATATAACCTCATTTAAATCCTTATTCACGCGATCGTTAAGTTGATCCTTGAAATGAATGAGTTAATTTGCAAAAGGCATTTCTAGAAATCGTACATGCTATATATATAATATAGCAATCAAAATATATATTACAAATATGACACAATAATAAACGACCATACTGTTATTACTGTCAAATAAAATACAACATTGAAGTTGAAACAAGTGAACCATCGGGAAACACGATTTCGTTGACTGATTTGACCCACCCCAAAAAAAATCGTTAAATACAGGTAAAAATACGATGGTTAATTGTTAATTGTTCCTTTTGGACTTTTGTAATTTGGATATACGTTTTAGTATCTGTTGCAAGGATGACGCGCTGTCAATTTAGCACTTGAAAAACGATAAATTTATGAACATGGAATCATTACGATCCTTATATGCCAGTTGTATTTTAAAAGACAAGTGTATCTACTAGCTATTTAGCATCATTTAATATACTTGTACCAAATCAATTCAAATAAAATCAAATGTCTTTATTCCTAATTGAAGGGCCAATATAGAGTATGTAAATCAACTTAAATCACAAAGTTCATACAGTATCCACACAAACAACACATGCAATCTAACATACATACTGATTGTTAATAATTGAAAATGATTTCGAACATAAAGCCTTTTAGTCAACTTAAACTATTGTCTGGGGGAATTTTCTGAAGTTCAAAAACATTTAAAAAAATCCTAATTCAATATTTCTAGGAAGGGCAGTTTAAAAATTTTCAGAAGTTGAAGACGAATAACCCAAGAAAACACACACAAAAAATGAAGTTTTTTGACAGTTATGCATTTTTAAGATCCACTTGTAAAGTATGTTGTCAAGCACTTTTAGTAAAAAAAAATGGTATTCAGGTTTTTTTTGCTTTATACGTTTTCAAGACAAAATAATCAACTCAAACGCGCCTAAACATTAAAAGTGTACTCGACTGTCTCTTTTCGATAAATTTATTGCCCATTTTAAAGATTTTTTCAGAAAAAACTGTCGCCGAGGGTAAAGATGCAAATAAATGCTTTTAAAAAGATCAATTATTTATCTGTCTGTGGAATTTTTTTCGGCGTAATTTATGCTTATGCACAACAAAGATCCACATGTATTGGCATATACCAGAATTGACTGTTTTGTGAAAATTTGTCTTTAATTTGAGTTTACAAATATCTCGAAGCTCCATATTATAATTTAAGAAAAAACACGTATATAAGATACACATGATCCTAAATTGTGCACATTCATTAAACTATTAAAGTCCAGAGAAACAGAATGTAAACAATTCACATAAACTAACTTGGCCCTTTTTACCTTCTCTAATATAGATTTTCATTTCTTTTATTTCATTTCAACTGGGTATCCGCCTGCTATTATTTCTGATACGTATTAAAAACCCAGTAGTAATTTAAATCTCAATTCTTAAGTCAGTATAGAAATGTATGCGCTTACGACATGAGACCGTGAAACATCAAAGTTCAGATATGATTCCTATGGATATGTAATTACAGGGGTCTTCAATTTTGTTCAGGACCAATAGGTTATAAACTTTCTGTAAAAAGGAACCTATTATCGATATCGTCCAAAATTGATCGGAAAGAATTTCGTCAGGTAATTGAAGATACTCTTTCGTCCTATTGTAAAAAATTGCGAAAAACGGGAAAATCGCATATCGCATTCAAAAATTTATTTGGAAATCAATATAAAGGGTAGTAATTCACTAGTTTCAGGGATTGCGTCAACTAGTTGCAAACCGTATTGTGCTCGTGCAGGTTGACATAGGAGCCAACATTGTGTTGGGGATATGACGAAAATAATACAGAGAAGAATAAAATGATAAATTCTTCAACATTCAAGACACATGCGCTTCACAGAGAGCCAATTAGTCTTCAATCATGGCACTGCCACATCTCAGCATATGGCCTCTTCTAAACATATGAAAGGACTTCGATATATTGGCTACTTAACTACACACAAAAAAACGTCAAATATCGTTTCATGTCAGTTTTTGGCAATTAAGTGCTCCACCACTAATCTTTTTGTATACTATTAACTATTTCCCTTACTAAAATTGCTATCAACTTGTGTGATAAAGTATATTACAATAGCTAGTGCGGTGACAGAACAAGAAAGAGTCGATTATTAAAAGAGTTTAATTTCACTTCATATTACACGACTAAAAACTTGCACAGTCCCAGAAAAATGACTTGACTTGATTGGTTGTCAAAAAGTCGTATGGTGCAGTCTTTTTTATTTATTTTAACGTTTAGCTAGAAAATTTACTAAAAATGCAGATCTATAGTGGCATGCAGTTTGACTTGTTTTTCAAAGGCTGCACTCAAATATCTTTCTTTTTTCATTTTATTCAAACATCACATATAATGCTCTATTCATTAATCGAAAAAGCTAATCATAAAAGCCTTTTGATGACAAATTATGAAGGTACAAATTACCGTAAACAGGGACATTTTGTGTTTTACTGGATTCCAACATCATACGATAAAGCGCTAATGTATAAATTGTATCGTAACTACTATAAATTAATAAAACTACAATTTCTCTTTTCATATACACAAGTTTTTATGAAGTAATTAAAGATTCTTTTAAACGATTTCTTTTTAACTTTCAAAATATCTACTATTAAATCATTAACTTAAATAATTTCCGGAAAGTTATGTCCTGTCCCTGTTTTAGTTTCTTTGTTTATTACGGTGTTCATAATTCTGTTTTGAGGTTGTGTTGATATAGTTTTATTTATATAAGAAACAAAATAAGTTTTTCAATTGAATAGTTAAGAAATTGGGATCTGACAAAAAACCAAAAAGATGACAAGACTGGGAAGTCCGTTGAAACTTGGCTTTAACATTTCAAAGAAGCATATATCTATAACCTACATTTCAGTCAGTACTAACATTTCATATATCCCAGTGAACTTGTGATAAAAGTCACTACCGAATCTAGAATCTCTTGACCTTTTCTTTGATAATGACACAAATTGATGACTTCAAACAAAAATCTGTGACAAACGTTACATGATGGTTTTAACTTTCCAATGTCAATCTCCCAGTTCTCAATAGTAGCATACCCTCGGTGTCATCGTATGGCGTTTACGTATCTTAATTGATACTAGTACCTTAAGCTCGTGCATGTTGACACAGTACCGACTTCATGAACAAGGATGTGCCCCTGACACAAACGTGCTTAAAAAGAGGCGGTAGATACCAAAGGGATATCCAAACTTAATAGTCGAAGACAATCTCACAACACCATGGCACACACAAGTCCAAGAACGACGTAAAGACAAATAAATTCTACAAAACACTATATATAAAACTAAAGACTGACCAACACAATCCTAACTAAAAACCTAGGGCTATCTCATGTGCCACGGAAGGGTTAGCATGTTCTGCTCCTCATGTTGCACCTGTGTGTTGGTCGTGTAAATACAAATTCAGCTATATGTACAGAGTTATGATGAAGAAATTGCGACTAAAATGGTAACAAAGTAAGTTTTAGGGTCACCATCACAAATTGCGTTACCTTTAAGCTTTACCGTGTCTGAACTCACTAGCAACATCTTTTTGCGTTTTAAGATATTTTTTTTTTAAATACAAAATACCAGATCAGATCTGAAAATTTACTATCTGT